TGTTTAAGCGTCATCTCAACCCTACAACACTATAAGTGATACTCCTATAAAATCACGAAAAAGTGAGCGTTCGTTGACATCGGTGATATTTGCCTGCAAAAAATGCGTATGTTGTAAGCGGTGTTCGCTAAAAAGGCGCGCAGACGGCGTCGCGGCGACGGGTCGACGGCCGCGCCCGGAATAACCAGCAGCACCAGCTATATTTGCAGCGGCGACGGGGGAGGAGGCGTGCGCGCGGGGAGCGGCGGCGGGGGACACACCAGCGCGTGCCATTTCTGCACCAGCGGCCGGTGCATCTGAGTAATGCCATTGTAATGCTCTCGATATATCCTACTGACGGCAGACGCGGCGTCGGCGTCGACGCTGCAACCGCAAATCCCTAAACGCCACCGAGCCGTTCAGCGGGCTGTCAAATACGATCCTTCGTCCGACCACGCTTACGAAGAATCGGGATAAAATAAGAAAAAGAATGTCAAATAGAAGTCTGCTTTATTATGGTGAAGCAGACAATATTAAATTTATGACATAACTCTACTACAATACATTTATCACAAAACTGACTCACTGTATAGGATAAACCACGGAAATCTCACATACTTATTATTCGTACTATTTTCCTCATATTTTCCTGTTTGTTAATTAATATTCATTAAATTAAATTTCGAATGAAAGTATCCGAAGTATCCTAGGGCGTTGCAAAGAAGTTTTAGGCAAGGCCGTTGTCTATGGTATGTATATAGTTGCCATGAGTGCAGCAGAACAAAGCTATTAATGTCGCATCGCAAAGAATTCCATTAGTGCTATTACGAATTCGTTTCGTAGATGTTGATTATCTAGATGTGTCCAGAAGGGACCGTAGCGCCGGCGGCGACTCTCGCGTATGTAGGTAACGATCAGAATGAGCCGTGGGAGCCCGCCTCGGTCATTTGTCATTGCCGGTTCCTGTCACTACGTCTGTTCGCATACTTTCTCACATTCTGCAATTACCTTTTAAAGGCAGCGAATTTGCCGATTCCAGCAAAAAAAAATACTTAATGGAATGATGAACGATGACAATCAAGACGCCGGTAATGCGACCTAAAGGAAAGCGCCGCGAAAAAAATTGCAGACGCATTTTTAAATGCCGATGATAATGTAACAAGCCGTCTCGTAAAGTGCAATTTATATTTATACATGACACCGCATTTATTTTAGCACAACTATTGTATTAAAGGACACATAACTTACGAGCATACCAAAGCAAAAATATTCTTCGGGCAAATAGTTGACTAACAAATAAATGTTAGCATCCAATGATGATTTGAAGTTGACTATTAAAAATAAAATGACACAAAACTTTGATTATGCTGATCTTTTAACAGTAGTTATACTTATTTTCTACAAATGATTCTAATATCGAAAGAGTTATAATAATTTATTTGTATGTAAATAGATGTCAAGTTTATTTAGGAATATGATATTAGCGATACGACCGGCGCGGTGCGGGCGCGGCGTCGGGTTTCACAAGCGGAGCGGGTCATTCGAAAATTGCATATTAATGACGCGCTTCGAGCCAAACAGAACATTCCCACAAAAATCTATAAACGTACGTCTCGTTCACACAATTTCCACACACATGTGCGGATAGTTTTCGCGACAGATGGTCCATGAGTCACTAACCTGTCCCAAGTGCTATTTGTTACCAATATAATCGACACGTTCGACTATAAATCATTCCTATTCCTATCTACATTAAAAATAGTCAGATGTCGTTTTTGTAAATCCACTATGAACATCGTTTAATAATACGATCAAACGACTAGACGATATTTGAGGCCACGCTAACCAGTTCAATGACCTCATAATAAAAAAATATCCAAAAATATGAAAGATTTTAGCAAGAGATGAGACCATTAGTCACCAAAGAAATATAATAGTAACAATAATTTTATGATAGTATTAAGAACATAAACATATTTTAATAGTGTAATCAGACCTTTAATGGAGCAAATCTCACAAAGTTTTAACATTTGAAGTAATTTGTATAATATAGTCTTGAACTTAGATTTGCCACTTTTTACGGTTACCAATAGAAGCTATCAAACATTAAAATAAATTAAACATTAAAACACGTCCTGTTTTGGTTGTAGTAAATCTACATCAATGGATCCCGTGGCTTTATTGGACGATAACGGTTCGGAATATTCGCGAGGTAGTAACAGAATTGTCAAACAGGAAAGCATGACATCAGTCGGTGTACATAATGCCTTTAAATAAAATGACATCATCAATTTAGGTAATTCAATTGACTGGAGCAGACATCGTGACGGTCGAATGATGGCCGAATTATGTCGTGTGAGAATAACATTGAAAGCAGATTAGAATGACATGCGCCCAGTCATTGATCATTTACATTTACGTAACCCCTTTGTTACTAATTGAATTAACCGAATCAATATAACCGAAAGATTCAGCTATTTAGAAGTCACGTTCAAAATTTGGCAAAACCGTGTCAATATTTTTATTGATTACGTATGATAATAAATCATTTCAACAAACTATTGTGTAAGGATTTATGACTAACTAGTCGTTACACGAGACTCCGTCTGCGCGGAATTAAAAAAAAAAATTAGTGGCCTACATTTGTGCCAAATTTCAGCGACTAACAAACATCTATCAAAACATTCGCCTTCATAATATTAGTAAGATCAAATACTTACTTAATAGTATTAACACAACTGTATAAAATAACATTTCCAGCCATATTTATAAATGTTTTCACTTCAAAAAAATCTACGTTACATCCGAGAGACCTTAATATCAAGGTACAATCGTTGCATACCATTAGAGCAAAGACAGTGGGTTAAATGTGTGAAGCAATCGATTTTGCGACTATAACGCGATTTCAAAAAAAAATCTTGACCTGTTCATAAAATTTATATTTCCTGTAGTTTCGCTGCCATTGCTAACTTTCACCGAACTAAATGGTTTTATTGACAATTCGAGTTATTTTTGTACGATTATAATGTTGATAACAAGTTGGCATTATTGTAAAGAGGTTTGTGAATGAATCTGGTTGTTTCGACCGAGTTCATTCAGTTGTAAATTAATACAAATCTCTTCTTCTAAATACGAACATTTCGCATAAAATAGAAGATGATGAAAGTTTCCTATGTCGTCTGAGTTGGAAAATAAACTTAGAGTTGACTATTCTAAACAATTACAATAGGCAATAATTCGCGCAAAAGCATATTGTAACCATTAGGAAAAAAGTACAGGAATAAAATTACAGTCAAGTTGATTGAACAATATCGAAACACAACGACTTCGATATATAAAGTTTAATTTAATTTGTATAGAACAGTGGTAGAGCCCGCTCTAATATCTTCTCACGAATTGGCCCGGCTTGCCCGGTGAAATGCCACGACCGCACAGAAGACAGGCGTGAAGTGGAAGCAATTCCGCGTTTCGTCTGATAAGTGTGCGTCCCGGAGGCCTATTTTAGTCCTCTTTCCCTTTCCACCCTTTTTCTTATAAGGAAAGGATAGGGAGTGGAAATGAACTTTCCGGATGAGAGGATGCATGGGAAGGGTGAATATTTTCTTTCTGTGCATCCTCTCCTCCGTCTATGGGCAACGGTCACTTTGCTATTTCAGCTAATTCAGGTGACCGCTCGCTTGTTTGCCACCTTATGATATAAAATTTGTTTTAAGTGTTGGAAAATAAAGTTTTTTTTTTTCATTTTTGTTTTCAATTAATTAGTTTCAGTATGATTTACTAATCAAACGGTATCTTATGCGAAGTATGGATGTGGGTCATCAAACCGTTGGACTATCGTTCCTAAAGTTTATCTGATTCACAAGACCATACGTGACTGTTGAGTATGTCGGGTCTAGACAATGACACGACTTTAATATTTTGTATGAATAATGACTAAGCAAATTCAAAGCATTGTTAACAATTTGGTTGGCTCGTACCAACTAAGCCGGCTAATGGTGGGCACTCGACGTGTCTTCATTAATATTATCCGTGTCATTGGATAGATTAGTATAGAGTGCCGCTGTCAAGATGTTTCCTTGCTTCTTGTAGGGCAATACTTTATACTGTTTATGAAGAAAAAAAACAGGAAAGACAGCGCAGGAAAAAAATCACAATTAAAGGCTTACTGGCTGGTTAAAAAAAACTTTATATGAAAATTTCCGCAAACTGCCACAGAGTATTAAGTTGTAATTTGCACAGACGTTGCACGTAACAGACGGCCGTGAACACGTCACTAGTTGCGGACAAGTGGCGACTGATAACGTAACCTACGTTTTAATCTTTAAACTAACATTACACCAATGCTACATTTTTTCCTCTCGTTTTCTAGATTTATCTCTGTAAACCAGACACATTAGAACCTTCAATGTGATTCCAATAATACCTGACAAAATGAGATAAAGCTTTCCAATATGCACTTTTATAAGATTAAAACAACAAAATTAACAGTTAGATAACAATTCCAACAGGAAAATATAAGGTAAAATTTGGCAAAAAATTTTAACAAATTTCCTTCTGTATGTTCATGCATTTTTTTGTAAATTGGGAATCAAATATACATTATACGAGTTACATATTTTTATTTACCAAACGATTTCATAATATTTATAAATATTCAGTCACTGAAACTATGATTCTGAGGAGATTAACACTTATAATTTAAGTGAATACTTCTGAGAGGACAACAATTAAAAACAAGCCACCTGTATCTCGAAGAGGTACATATGTTAACAGTAATTATGGGCTTATTAGTAACTTGTCGCTAAAAATACGACACGCCCTGGCTTTGCCCTGGTGGCAAAAGATATACATCCGATCTCTTTTCTGTCCTTTTTGTCGTACCCTCCCCAGTTAATTACGATAAAATATATACACATCATGCGGAGTACATAACCTATATGATGGCAGAAAAAGGTATTTTGATCCGTTTTAGAGTTTAGCAAAACATTTGAGTTATTTAGACTTAAAGGTAAAGTACTCACAATCTACATCTCCCGGACAAGTTTTGCAGCATCTCCCCGGCAGCAGCACCGGAGTGTCGCATGACGGCTCCGGACACTCGTTCTTGATGTTCCGACAGTGTACTTTGGCCACCACACGACGTTTCTTTTGAACCTAAACGGGAAGAAAAATGTTAGTTTCGCATAAGATTTTTACGTAACGCCTAATCAATTTACGTAGAGTTCCTTAAATGTAGTTCAAGTAAACCTTAAACTAAAAGGGTAGGTAGAGACTATAATTTTCCATAGCAAAACTCTCGCACTACTCATTTCTTCTACTTACATAATATACTCCTTATTTCGTCCTTCTTTTCTATATGTATTGATAACATACAAATAATAGATTAATATAAGCATTTTTAGGGCACAGATTAGTATTATTTTGGCATTTCTAATTCCTTTTTAATGTGGCGCCACTCCTTATCTTGCGACGTTATTTTTATTATTTTTTTACCCGAAATAAAAAAAAACTCTAATCAATCTTTAATTACAAATATAATTAGTTTAATAACTAAAATCTTCCAGTGGATTGATAAAGCGTCTTAATTAAAGAATAATTTTTTATACCCTTCATTTGGTTACTAAGCACTAGCAATTAACAACGTAGACAATTCATGGGAGACGCCCGAATTCAGCAATGGAGTGTAACACGTAATGGCCCGTGGCTTGATCATGACGAAATTCTTTATTTAGACATGTCAAATACAGATAACTTAAGTTTATTTAAATTATGACGCCAGTATTATGATTCAGATTAAAATTGTGTATTTTGCATGTTTTTTAATGATTTTAAAAGCGTCGGTGGCTCAGGGGTTAAGCACTTGACTTGCAATCTGCAGGTCCTGGGTTCGAATCCCACCATGTACCAATGTGTTTTTCGATTTCCGATTGACATATGTACATTTATCTGACGTAAGGGTGCTGATGTTGATTTTGATAATAATTTAATATTGAATTTTGTAGTGGAAGTATAAAAAGTTAACTATAAAACTTAAATAGTTCTTCAAGTAATTTGTTAATTTCGCCTTTACGAAATATTATTATGACATCGCGTAATTCAACAACTAAGGAGGAAACTATGATTATATACCATGAGGCAGAGTACAGCATGAGGTAAGATGCATCACTATCTTACTAATATTAGAAATGTGAATGTTTAGATAAACGGCTAAACTGATCACTCTGTAATTAGGCATAAATATAGAACATAGTTTTTTTTTAATTTCGCGCGGGTAAAATCGCGGACGACGGTTAGTTATAATATATTTCAAATGATTATTTGAGATAATACAGTATTTACTCACCGAAATACACTCACATTTGATGCAGTACATTACCCCGAAGGGAGGGCCGAGATCCGCGAACCACGTCGAGCCCAGCTCCTTGGCTTGCTTACCGAACTGACATTCTGTAACAAACAATATAATCATAATATAAGACTGTTTTTAGCCGACTTCAAAAAGAAGGAGGTTATCAATTCATCCGTTTTTTTTGTGTGTTAACGAGTAACAGCGCCCCTGTTGTTTCGATTTCGAAAAAGTTTTGATTTGACTAGAAGTTTTTGATACTAAGATCATTAAGTAGCTTAGACTTTGACTGAAGTAGAAAGTTCAAAGCTACGTGCGAAGTAAACAAACACTGGGCTAGCATGTTTGACTAAGTCCTAGTCACCACTAACATATGCTAGCCTCCTAGTCCTTCGCTGGGGACTATGAATGAGCTGACGATGACTGGTTTTACTCTAAATGATTACCCATTTTTAAGAGTGATGAATTATTTTCCAATATTTATCAGGAGTGTCATAGAAAAAACGGTAAGTTTTGCTTCTTTTAATTTACAATTACATAATTACTAGTTATAGTGGTAATGAAACGACATAAAAATTAAACGTATTAAACGTCAACAGATTAATGAGAGATTGATTAATAAAACGCAAAAGAGGTTCTAAGCGGGTAGCGCTCAACAAGTCGCAATTACATAGAGCAGTACTTGATAGTCTAAAAATATAAAATGTCGACGTGGCCATATGATGGCAACCCGCTCCACCAGCCACTGCCTACAGTTAAACCCCGTTTCCACTAACTAACTAGACGCTAGACAGACGCAGACATCGTACGAAGTTCATAAAAAGAGTAGTCGTGTGCAGTCAAGCATTTAGTGAAAATGGGGTCTAAAGCCTCATTCCTATGCGAAACGTTATGCCGATTCCATTAACTTTAATAAGTTCTAAAAGCTGTTAACCATACGTACGTATTAAATATTGATAGTTCAAGAAACTTCGGATACGAGTATTTCTAATTAGAAGGAAATGAAACGTATTCTATAAAAAAAATGTATTGTAATAAAGAGATTCTAGCTATTTCATAATAAGTCCTATTAAAGTTAATATGTCATAAATGCATTTAAGAACAGTTCGTTAACTTATTTTTTATATCATAAGGTGGCAAACAAGCAATTGGCCACATAAATATACCTAAATAGCGAAGCTACCGCGGCTCATGGATATCCACAATTTCAGTTGTGTTACCAAATTAAATGTTTAATATTATTCTAAGATATTTGAACATTTTAGGGCAGTGTTTCCTAATCAGTGGTATACGTAACCCCAGGGGTACGTGAAGTTGTACCAAGGGTTACGTACGGCTATCATTAAAAACAAGAATAATGTACAAAATAATATTTTATTACGGTTACTACAAACGATCGGTTATTACGTCCAATTGGTCCAAGCGTTTGAGCGTGAAGAAGTAACAAACACACACTCACAAACTTTCGCATTTATAATATTAGTGTGATTGCTACAATAAGGGGTTCGCAGTTGGGAACCACTGTCTAGGGGTCTAGGGGATTGATATAGAAAACACAAAAGAATATCGCTTTATATAAGTAAATATTATTTGTCACCTTGTCCTACGGAACACGATACTTGAGACTCTATACTGCAAATAGTTAACTAAGTAGTTGTTAACATGTGATAACAACTTCATTCTCGGAATTTAATTAAACTCTTATCATTCCATATCACAATGTTTTTATCATATTTCTATTCTTTTAATCCTAAGTTCTATGAGATTATAGAAGACATTTTATCTTGTAATGAAGATAATATTCTTTGAAAGGATTTGTTTTACTCATTTTACGAAATTATATTAATTAGCAATAGCATTTCTTAAATATGTATCATTATTTTAATTAAATTATAATTTGTAAGCTGCTTCATATAAAATAAGTAGACTACTCGAGACGTAATAAGTACATGTAATTGAGAACAATCGTGAATGTAATATCGTGACAAACAGTGGCCGATTCCGAATGTTAGATTCGCTATCAGATGTCTTAGGTCGATAAGGTGGCTCGGCTCGGCCTCTATAAATAGGCGTCAGCGTTATCTCTCCCTCTCGTAACTATTTAATTAACCTCACTGCACGAGTGCACTGATAACGCAACGACATGTTGCGTGAGAACAAATCGATCCCGGCTCACGAGGATTGCGCGCTCGGGTCGCCGCTCGCCGCTCGTGGCTTGAATTCGGTGTTAGCACCAATCGCCCTTATTTGTCACTTCTCTTGTAATAAGGAAGGAGGGTGGCGGCGCTTAGGCGATAGATAAGGATGCGACAATCACGACTCGTATTCACTATGACATTTTATGGACAGAAATGATCCTCTATTCAAGTGGCTCCATTGAGTGTTAAACACGTCATTGCTAGAATTGAAATTACATTTGCCAACTATCGTACGGCCGCGCATCTTTTCCTCTACGGATACAGTGCCAAGGCGTCGTCATTGGCAGCTTATTAAGGTACCGGAGTGCGGCACTTTCGCTCGTTTAAGTGATGTAACAAATCTATAAGTGACGTCCGCTAAATACGCGTAAAAATATTATGCAGCGGTTATGATTTAGGCTTATATACCGCGGCGAGACGTCGCGTAACCTTCCCTCGTTCTCGGAAACTCTGGCACGTTGCCAGCCGCCGCGGGGAAATGAAGTAGTGGCTACGGCGACGCCCGTCTTATGCTCCTTTCACGATCTGTTTATGGAAATTTGTACACGAACGTGCGCATGTTTATTTTGATTACGCTCGATATCGATAAATTTGCGCAAAGTGCAACGCCGCAAATACCACAATAAATTCGAGCGCGCACGACCAATAACCTGCCTAATTTATAACTATAAACAAAAATTCCTCTTTGTCACTTTAAGAATTCCGTCGCGTCGTGATATTTGCCGTCTGGTTTATTTTTTTATAAACATCAAACGAAACTTTTTAATATCGCGACGTGAGTACAGTCACGTCGTGTCGCTTTAAGACACAGACTTGACGATTCTTCTGTGCTGTCTCTGGCACTGCGGTCATATGTCCGAGTTGTACACTCTACAGATGCGTGATTTTCACAGACAGCTCATATTATACTGATTATTTAAAACTTACCGTCATTTTGTACTTTAAACACTCTATTATCATCTATTTTTTCATTATATAAATAACTAGCTGTCGCATGGAACTCCGTCCGCACGAAATTAAAAAAGTTAGTAACCTATGTTCTACATCTTTCCTAAATTATAGATCTATGCAGCCCTTCAGAAGATACATTCAAACAAACATCCATCCATCCAAACATTCGCATTTATATAAGCAAAATAGACTTTACCAGTTGTGTTATTCTATGATTATTACAATAAAATATGTAAGTAGCCGTTCAAATAAGTCTTTTTAACATTCATTCTTTTACTAAGTATATTCAATTAACATTAAGAAGCGCACATTTAAATATAACGCATGTGCCGAGATATTTATTATTATGTTTGAGAATTAAAAGAATAAAATGTTCAGTGATCGTGGAAGTAAAATGTATTCGAAACAAAACAAAGGTCAATGCCATGAGATATAAAAGACAAGGACATGCAGATATCTAGATATGTTAATCTTAAAAGTACACGATAAGATCGTGGAATACAGCTGATTTCTGGAAAGTCTTACATCTAAAAAACTCCGAATCACATACTTTTAGTACAATCACATTGACAGGATACTGGGCACATATCACGATGCCTTATTATATAAAAAGAAAAATGATAATACGTTCAGTAATATTATGAATATAATGTTGTGAAAATGTGATTGCACTGAACTGTACTATAAAAGCATTTAAATGACATAAATACAAACAAATTTCAAATACATATCACGTAAATATAATATGCTGTTTACTTTTAAAAAAATGTGTTAGATTTTGCTGATGGCATATATTTAAATTTCCCACGCATAAAGCCTAAGCATAGGTGTTATTGTTATCTCTTCAAATTACAACAACGTAATTTACCGTGGGTTTTTCAGATTATCTTTGACAAAACAGGAACGTCCGTCTGGAAGAACATCTAGGCTACTAAGTTTTTTTTTTAATCCCGCGGAGTCGAAATCGCGGGCAAAAGCTTTATATCTATTATAATACATCTTTCATTTAATGGGAGATCGTTTGTTAATATCAAAAACGTAACGTGCGCAAGCGCACGATTAGAATAGCATTGTCATGTCGTAGATTGCGATAAGTATAGGTTTGATGTCAAAGGGAGAGGTATATGGTGGGTTCATTGAGGCGTGCGCGCGTCGCTTCAATAAATTCACCACATAAAAGGGTCGGCAGAGGCGTGGGCCGTATTTCAGCAAACGTGGGCAGCGCATAAACAGTCCCGATCCGTATTAACCTTAAGCTTGAACATTTTGACATCTGTGACGGACTAGTTTATTATCTACTGGTAATCCGATTTACCTTTGCTAGGGCACAGAGACAGACAAATAAACAATAACCTAAAAGCCTCAGTTTTTTTGAGAGCTCCGAGCGTCGGTGGCTCAGGGGCAGCACTTTTCTTGTAATCCACAGGTCCTGGATTCAAAACCCGCCATGTATCAATGTATTTTTCGATTTTCGATTTACATATGTACATTTATAAAATATTCTATTATTATATTCAGAGTGGTTGACACCTAGTCACCCGTAATTTAGGTTAGGCTCCGAGCCCCTTGGTGGGGACGTATAGTGAGCTGATGATGATGAACACTTCACATTTGAACCGTCATATTTAGGCATTATCAGGACACAATAAAATGGTCATATATTTTATAATAGTTCATAGTAATAAACAATTGCAGTTTTAATAAAGAATCACTAGTTCAATAGAGCGATAAACAATACCGGATTTTTCCGGCGCGAACTCGATTTTAGTAGAAATTCAACTGTTTTATTTTGTACATCTCTTATGTATGTTTAAGTCGATTTTAAAAGTTAAATGGAAAATTTTGCATTATAGTGAAATGAATGAAACGACCTTGAGGATAATATTAAAGAGAACTTTTAGCCCGGAAACACGATTTATTTAATAGGCAACATTTAAATATATTTTTAGCAA